GGAAAAATGAATATTCGGAAACAAGCTTCCGGAAGGTCGGAAGATACTACTACTGGAAGCCATGAGGACTACTGGGAGAAGTCAGGAAAAGCTTCCAGAAGAAGTCGGAAGAAACATACAGAAGAAATTAGAAGAAACAGGCAGAAATAAACTTCCAGGGGAAGTCGAAGAAAAACACGTCCAGCAGTACTCGGAAGAATGGCTACAGCTCTCAGCGGAATTCACTCTTGATTTCATCCAGCAATTCAACCGGGACCTAGGCACCTTATATAGAGAATAGTGACGTTTAACGGACGCACACTTGCATCGTGTAAAGTTGTTTATTATTTTCTTCTTATTCATTCCTTTATTTAACGTCGGTCTCTGTTCCGCAAACGAATATGCAGGAAGGCAGCTTCCACACCTGCGTAGGATATCGCACCCATTCAACACACATGGGCCGGGACTAATGGCTTTACTTCCCTTCCGAAGGAAGACGTGACCAGAGATTTTTATGCCCCTGAAAAATCCCACCGACCTCGGCTGGGATTGAACCCAGGCCCATTGGGGTGTGAGAAAGCTGCCACGCTTACCACTACACCACCGGCACCTGCTATTATTTTTTTATGACTAACGTAAAAAAATGTATGAAATTAGATCTGTCGAAATAAGTTTCACAGCGATTTGTTATGTATTTTCCTCGAATTTTCACTTACACTTTATCGCATATCGCACCAATACAACCGGACGTGAAAATCTCTATACAAGTGCCACACAGGTGGGAGAAGTGTTCGTTTGGTTACTTAAATGAACTATTCACTATTCACTATATTTTTTTTTTGTTAATTTTAATTTGAAAATTGTTGAGGAAATGCGCGATGAAAGAATGTTGCTCGCGGACATTGCAGAAGCGTGTTTTACATCTTACTGTAGTCTGAAAAATTATCGAGAAAATCTACCCAAGAAAAAATTGACTAAATCCACGTAAAAAATACCTCTGCACTGTCATCCAATTGAGGTTAACCCCGGTGGTGCAAAACCTTATTGGACGTAAGTCGTGAAACGTAAATAAACATTTCATTTAAAATTAAGTTTTCTCAACTCGACGAAGAGAACGTTTGATTGAATTGAACTTCTCATTTCTTTCAACTGATTATTATGTCAAATGGGCCGCTTATATGTGTCAGTATCACGGAACCTAACTTAACAGGACTTGTTAGTCTCGTCCATCTCTTAATCCATCCATCTCGATGCTGGATCACTTCTCATCGGATTCTTTCTGATAAACGCGATACACATTCCGTCAGTTATCTTGGAGCCAAAACAAGGCGATATTGACAAAACAGCTTTCGTTACTCACATAAGCTAAAGATCATCTTCAAAGGAATTCATGTCAATTGTCAGCAGTCTTCACGGTACAACATGTTTACGATGTACAAGCCAATTTGTAAACTTGTACTCAAGTACCAGGAAAGGAGTATGTATAAGGCGCTTAGCTCAAGTACAATGAACAAGTTTAGACTCATGCGCTTGTGCTCGTACGGCTACTTTCTACGAGCGCTTCTTATATGTCTTTAACCTGTTCGTTTCCCCGCTTCTTGAAATAGATAAGTGGTCAAGTCACAGGTTTGATGATCGCAAGGTTCGTAGTTCGAGCCTAGTCTGTATCAGTTTTTATTATTATTATACTATAATTCTTCCCTTATTTTGCTCCATGCAAATAATAGCCATGGATGTTACAAAAAAAAAAAAAAAAAACGTGTGAATGGTGGCAACTCTGAAAAACGTGATTTAGCTGAACAAATATTTCTAAATCATCAAAATTTAATGGAACCAATCATTATTATATTGTTTACACATCTGGACCGGAACAGTAAAGAAGCTAAGTGTGAACTTAACAACTAACACTAACACCACACAAAACATACTGTACACTAACATTTTTTTACAGACACGAATGCATCAGCAGATGTAAAGTGTCGGTAATAAACAACAACAACATCTTTTGGGGTCCCTACTAATTTGTCACGGCATGCCAGATAATTTTTGAATCTAATAATGTAGATCCAACTCGGGGCTACAAAATGATGAGTTGACAACCTGAAAGGAGAGTGATTCCTAGCTCCGGTCCTCACAAGTCCCTACCTCACGCCTCCACGAGTCATATGATTACAAACGACTACGAGCTGAAACATGGACACAACTGGGTGACGTAGCCTGGGCAATGTTGTCAATCCGACAATAGCAAAGTGAGGAGGTGCGTAGCGAACACTGGCGAGGTAACCCTAGCACGGCGGCGGTAGAGGTAATGCTTCGCCTCCAAGCGTCTGTCCACCACGGAGGTGCGGCTCAAAAAGCCTCTGACTGGCATCCAGCGGCTGAATAAGAAATGCTCTTCCCCGGAAGCTACACCTAAGATGGCAGTCCCATCAGAAGATAGGAGACCTTAGGCAAATCACCTACAAGAAGACCAACAAAAGACAAGAAGGAAGATGGTTATCAGTTAGGTAAGTTACTTCATCATCAAAGGTAAGTCACCGTATATACTTTCACAAAATGATAGCGTATGCATATAAATATTATATTATTATATGAACCAATAAATGTTGGAAAGGGAAGGGACCACCAGGGCACCCAATTGAAGCGATTTGAATGGGGAGAGTGAACTTGTCAACTCCCTGTTGTTAACATCTCATGGAAAACGGGCGGGCTCTTCTCCACACTTATTGGGGTATCCTTCTGTCGGGCGGCTCGTTGTTTGACCAATTGTATGATCATGTGGCTGGAAGGAGATTCTCTATCATCCCGTGTAGGCGTATAGGTGAATTTTCCTATCCATCCACCAAAACCGTTTTTGGCCCTTCATACAGTGACATGTTTAGGACAATCAGATGTTATTAAGCTTGATCAAATCAAACAATGAGGAGCGCCCACTGCTATCGGACTTAGTTTCCGTGCTACAATGAGTGGTAGACAATTATCATCATCATACATAATAATGTAGATTCAACTCGTTCAAGAGTCCAACTAAAGTAAATTGCACAGTGGGCCAAGAATTAAATCTAGCAGGAAACAATTAATAGCGCTTTGGGATTGCATCTAATTGAGTTGACGTCTGGAGTGAAGTTTCGTGTATTAATTATTACTACAATTTGGAGGGTAAAAATAGTTCATGTTTTGACCGCAAAGATGGCACAGCGATACAATCTTTTTTATTTAATCAGAAAACCAATTTTTCAAAATTCATGTCATATATATTTTCCATTACTCTAAAAATAACAGCATTAATCTGAACAAGATTGCAGGAAAAATGATAAATGTATTCTTTTGAACGTCGTAAATTTCAGGCAAAATTTATAAAACTTCGTAGGGTTTTTGATCTAATTTTCGTCCAACTAAGCACATGCCACACTTTACTTCTCTTTTTTGAAAGGTTTTAAACAAAACAAGGAATGTTTTCATCAGAAATAACTTCTAAATTTATTCACCTTTCCATACGTACCGTTGGATTTGATAAAGAGTCAATCAATGTTGAGATATTATTAAAAATCTAACACTGCTTCTTCATTCTAAATTCGTCCTACAAGTTTCAATTCCGTCCTAACGCATTGAAACGCTATTAGATTTTCTTCGTCCTACGGATGATGGTAGAAAAAGTGGATTCGCTAGGAGCACTTCTTTTGTTTTGAGAACAATGAGTGTAAATATTCATACAATGCGCTGTAATAGGCTTCAAGTTGTGGCTTATGAACTAACGAATCGGATCAAACGTATTAATGTTTTGTGCATGGTAAAATCATTGATATTATTGATGATTTCTGCTCGAACGAACGGAAATGGGCGATTACGACGAAGTAGCGCTCTTCCCTATATCACAGTTGTTGAAGATGCACAGCTTTTAGATCTTCGGCAACTTTTCATAAAATTCTACGTTCTACAACTTTGTTCAAAACAGCGAACCTTTATCTTGCGAAATAAAAAAAAGTTTGTATCGCTGCGCCATCTTGCGGCCAAAACTTGAACTATTTTTATCCACAAAATTGTAGTCCTAATTAATCCAGAACTCAATTGGATGCAATCCCAGAGCGTTATTATTTTTTTACGGATTCTAAACTCGGCCATACGCATTGAAACGCCAATGAATTCACTTTGGCCTATCGGATAAAGATAAAAATTGATTCGGTCGGAGCGCTTCTTTTGTTTTTTTTTTGGGAATAATGGGTGCAAACTTTCATATTACGTGTTCTCATTTACGTCGTTCCGTAGCTTATTAACTAAAGTATCGTACCAAACGCATAATTGACTTGTTAACTCTGAAATCATGGATTTATTTGAAGTTTTCCGTTCGATAGGCCCAAAATGGGCGATAAGGCCGTCATCAGGTGAATCTTTGTCATTTACAAGAAATTAATACGATTTTGACGAAGGTTTATGTGAAAGTCAGTTCTTCCCGTGACAATGTCAAAAATAATTCTGTAAATATCGCGATGAAACATTCAATAGCAATGTCAATTCTTAGCGCTGCTTGGAGCTCCGTTTTATGCTCTAACTGGACGTTAAAAAAACAAATCGCACACCAGTCGCAAGTAGCTGGTCAACTCCTATTCTTATGATTATTGTTGTTGTTTTCATTTACTCCCTCATTCTGCCAACACTTTGGTACGGCGAGTTCACTCGATAAGAGATGTGAGCGGAGAGTGACGGCAACTACGGTTTGTATTGGGTTTTCCGTAATGATCGGTGCTTAATACCGTAGCAGCATATTACAACTCAAATTAATACATGTACATATCACAACTACAAGTGATTTCGAAAAAAAAAATCGTGGGTATTAACGATCAGTTTTATAAGTGAACCCGTATCTCCAGGGTCCATATGCTGTTATCTCTTCAAAGAACCCTCAAATCAGACAAGCCATCAGCTCAAATCCCATAAGGCACGTGTCTTCGTTAATTCTGGATTAACCGTATTATACGAGTCTTCACTGTACTAAATAACTAATCTACTACCACTGTACTCACCTTAGGATGTTCGGATGCGACAGCTTGTTCAGCAGCTGTACTTCTCGCAGCATGTTGGGCCGGTTTGCTCTGCGCTGGTTCATCTTTAGCACCATCACGTCGCCGGTCGTCCGATGTGTCACCTGGAAATGGTAGGAAAACCAAATATGAGATTAGCTTGTATTTTTGAAGTGGTTATACACATTGGCTGCAGATTTCCGCGTTTTATTATGGCACAAGATCGAACACTAACTCTTTCTGAGGTTATCTCTTAAATGCAAGCGTTTTGACATGACCGATGTTTAAAATTGCTAGAATTATATATGAGTGTGATTTTTTAAAAGCGTAAGGTGCTAATTGGAGGTTTGGTTCCGAAAATCGTGACACGAGTCTATACGTACATAGAACTTGCGTCAGCATGTTATAGGTTTCCGGGAAGATATGCGGTAAGCGAACATCGTACAACATCAGAGTCTAATTGAAGATATATTTAACGGAGATTACCGACGTCATGTCAGACAAGTGTATTCTGATTACTACATGATGAGTTTCAAAAGTACATTAGCATTGTTCATAAAGATATAATTTGACTAATTCGCACAAAAAGGCAGTGTCACTCAGTCATAACTGATGATTATATGTATGTGTGCTGAGGTTACTATGGGCTTTAAGAGTTCATTGAATCACGAGGCTACAATACAAGGTTGGAAGCATCGAAAGCTGGTGGGTGGTGTTTTGTATAGGTTTACCATTTAAACATCATCGGAGAGAAATTAATTCAGTATTGCGTAAGGGATCAATAACATCCCTTACTACTGAAACCAGATCCGACCACCAACGTGAGGGAATAAGCGAAACCCCACATTTTACATCAGTGGCTCAAAAGTGCAGGCTTTTCATACGGTTACATAAGAATATGCCAATTAGAAATAAATAATAAAAAAAAAACTTTTAAATAGCATCAATGTTTGCCACCACGACGCGACTGGAAGATGGCGCAATCGTTTTATAAAAGTTTTATTCAAACCTTCCTTTGGAGACTTCCGAGCACCGAGCCGCAAGTCATTATGCTGTTGATCGACTAAAGTGTTCAATAGGTAAAAATGTGGTAGCTCTTTTGTTGATCAGCACGAATAGAAAGCCACTGGCCGCACGAATGCTGTGAACCTGGCCAGATAATAACACGCACTAATGGTAGGATCATTTGGATTTCTTTTGTTCAATCGAGTTATAAAACGGGTCATAGAGAGAGAAAAATATGCCAAGCAAAATGATACAATCGGCCACATACTTACTTTAATTAATTGGATGCTGTGCTGGAAAGCTAAAACACAAAATTTAAGCCATTTTGAGTAGCATTTCACTAATTAAAATCTGAATAAGCAACAATTATTACAATATTATGCTAACTACGCACACGACGACGGTGAATGATTTTAATTTTCCTTTTTCCATACATTTTCACCGCAAAATTTGCCAGCTACGTTCCAACTTTCTTCGGGTGCAACCGTAACTGACGTATGTGATTGCACGTGCCCAGGGCAGGGTATCTCTGAGATCGTTGAGATCTCACTGTAGTAGGTAATGGCAGGTATGCATGCATGAAATGTTGAAAAATAGCAACAAATTGAGCTGCTGCAGAGGCTGAATTTTCGAGTTGATGCATATTCGTAAGATGAAGATCTTTTCTGGCATGTGAATGCAAGCAGTTTGGTGTGTATGTGTGTACTGCAGTCAACAGACGTGAAATTAAGCAACAATTAAAATGTTTTCTTGTGGGCAAGTGAACAGAAACGAAGAGCGGTCGTTGGAAAATCTGATCTTTGCATCGGGCGAAAATCGGAGGTTGTAAGTTTACATTTAATTTTTTTCATCGTTTTATGTATTATAATGCCTTGGGATTGTGATCGTTGAGCGTTTTTGATTTCCAATGCTTTAATTTGAGCGAGCAGTTTTTTGAAAATATGTTATTTATGCCGTTAAAAATTTTCATGGTTCAACTCCTTCTGGGAATAATGTAAAGAGATGGGCTTAGTTACTTTTTTCCATGTTTTTTTCTTCCGTCAATCTTGTTTTCCGTGCTGAGCACCAATGCTACCGACGCCAGGGAGGCAGCTCCCACACCTGGAGCTACCTGTCGACCCATCAACTCATGAACCGAGGACCAACGGCTTTACTTCCCATCCGAAGTAAGGCGTGATCACAGATGTTATGCCTCAGAAAATCCCGGCGGTGCCGAATTGGATTGAACCCAGGCCTGCTTGCGTGAGAGGCAATCACGCTTACCACTACACCATCGGCACCGCTGGACTTAGTTGCTTATGACGGTGAGAGCTCGCATGACGGAGCTTGTTTTCGGAAATCGTAGCATTTCGGTAGTTTTCGCTTCTTTACAAATGATGTTCCAAATCATGCAAAAAACTATCTAACCTTTTGGAAGTATGAACAGTCACCCTACCGGGAAATGTAAGATTCTTCTACAGATTTGGATAAGAAGTATGCATAATTTGTAAAGGTTCATCGCATGAACAGTAGAACTTTATATGGGAGAATTTTTGTGTTGTGATTTGTGTTTTTTAAATGAGAAAACCACTCTCTGAAAGTTTCAGGTTATTGAGGTTGTGAATCGGTAAGGTCCCAGCTAGTTGTCGCAAAATTACTAGAAACGGCCTGAACATTTTTTTTTACATTAAAACAATAAGCACTATTTCTAAGCGTTTGGTTCTATTTTACGTAGCTTTTTCCAAGCTCATTTGGAAAAATGTTTACTATTTTTAAAGCTAGCACTAGGCTGAAACGTGGAGCAAAACAGATAAATATATCGAAGACAGCATGCCCGATATTTGGAGGAACTTAGCACGAAAGAGATAGCATCGAGGCGGTGGATGACATTTTGACATCGAATAACAACTGCAGAATAGAAATTCTGAAACGTATTATTGCAGGAAGTTCACAAGAGCTTGATAAGACAGGCATTTCTCTAAATGTACAAGATGTGGACAATGGACCTACAAGCACCTGCCTGCAAGGAGACGAAGTATGAATCACGAGCTGGCGCTACTCTACGGCGAGCTTAGTATACAGAAATTTCTTTAAAAATAGGCGGAACACGATGTGGTGAATAACGGACAACAATCTCGCAAAGATGGTGTTTGCTTCGAATCCTGCTGATACATGACACAGAGAGGCTAATCGAACTAGGCCATTAGATCAAGCGGAGCCAGGTCTAGTGTATGTGGGAGGCTTGAGTAACTAAAATCAAGCTGCAAATCATCCATTTATCCTTGAAGGATATGTAAGGTAGGGTCAGTGTTCGTAAATTCATTGTCAACGCTCATTCATTGAGCTCTTCTAAGAGAATAAACTCACGTGTGAAACTGCTAAACAAATCTCTCGCTTGACATTCTCATGCATTTTCACGCACTCACACTTACATTGAAATCAATTCATTACAGCTTATAAGTTATAACTCATAAAACCCACCCAAACTTCAATTGATAACACGCTCATATATGTTTTGTCAGTTTTCCATGGAATAGTGCAAAAACAAGACTGATAACAAAGAGCAATGTCAAAATTTCTTCATCCACGAATCTCATCGGTGATTTGCAGTTGAATTTTGCAAGGCACACATTCGTCGTTCATCGTTTTGGTAATCCTAACCCACCACGTTTTCATCTGGCTGGTGTTTTGGTTCACTTTATCTTGAGGTCTGGCCTTCGCGGATATTTTGATTCAGTTTCGAGTGTTTACGCCGGTGTTAAATATTTAAATTCGCAGCAAGTGCTAGATTTTATTTAAATAATGGCCAGGATGATGAGCTTTGTGGAAACGGTAGCTAAATCGGTACAGTAATCATGATTTGTGTTGATCTAAAAAAAAGAAACTCCCGGCAACCATATTTGTTCTACCTTTTGGGTGCGCAAAACTCATTACAACGTTTTAGGATATGTGTGTGTGTGTGTGTGTGTGTGTGTGTGTGTGTGTGTGTGTGTGTGTGTGTGTGTGTGTGTGTGTGTGTGTGTGTGTGTGTGTGTGTGTGTGTGTGTGTGTTTGCATTGCAACATTTCTCAGCCAGTGACACTTTGGTTTTATAAATAAAAATCAGGAACCCCATGAAAATGTTCAAGCCTTTGCAGAACGTTTTCCTTTTACCAACATAAGAAAATAACATGCTCGATTGGATCCGGCAAGTGACAGTTCAATTGGCTCCCGTCATTGAATCTGCCAGACTTTGCATATAGTGACTATGGGTTTTACGGGATTGAAGAGAAATCATTGAATTGTTTGCATCAGCTTTTACGCATGGTATATTGTAATGTGGTAAAATTTATATATTGTATGTATACATGGAACGTTGTTTTTTTAGGTATGTACAACATCTCTTTGTTCCAGTATGCTAGTTGAGGATTTTTTTAATATGCCAGCGGTAGACGCGAGCGGTGAGCTTTAAATATCGTAATCCAGCAAAAAAAAATTCCGCATTAGGAATCCCATTCTAAGTCATTTTGAAAAATTATACCGAGATTGGAAGCTTATAGATAGGGGAAATGGCTCTAATGTTGGCCTATGGATCTAAGATTGGGCCCATAGCTAAAAATCTGCTATTTATCAATTTTATCTATATGAACGCGTCATTGGGACGGTACTAATGGATATTTTTGGTTGCTATTGAAAATTTAGTCGATTGCTGAATTTATGTATGGGCCCAAATTAGGTGAATTTAGGCCGACATTACATCCATTTCCCCTATATCATTATTTATAGAAACATTTGGTAACTCCATACGTATCTGCCGTCTGGAAATAAACATCACTATCGTTTTAGATGAGGAAGGAGATTTCTTGATGACCATAACGATACATTCCTTAAATCATTAATGATTAGACATGTCATTTGTTCTACACAACAAAAAATAAATTTTAATATTACATCCAAGAGGATGCACTTCAATCATTCGAAAATCTCATGTTATTTTAATGGCCACAAAAAAAAAAAAAATGCAGTAAAAGCAGCGTAATGTGAGTTCATGCACTGTATAGGTGCCCCCGGGGGAAGTTGCCAATTCTCAACAAGAACCAACACCTATCGTGCGATATATCAAACTTCATGATTTTACAAATCTTGGCCAGTAATGGCCTTA